GCATGCTCATACTAACTAGCAAATATTGCATTCCTGTATATTTCACAAAAGACTGCACGGCCTCTAGGTGAACACAAAAACTTGCTGCAGTAATACAAGAGCTTTGTTGTTCTAAGAATTGCGTCTGACTGAACGATAAAAATACCACTGACTTACAAGCAAAAATATTGTCCAAGTACGAAAAGTAACAATTCCTGTGTAAGAGTTTACAATGAGCTTCTGATAACTGCAATGTGTTAGATGTGACAATGTATTGTGTTGGATATGACACTATGTAAGATGCTTCAACATCTTGCCTTAGGCAAAAAAACAACCTACCAGTAACTGTGTGAGAGCCTCTGATAAACTTCTAGTAATTGCATTGAGCTTGTCAGCAGGAAGAGATAGGTACAGTTGTTTGTTCTCCACACGCACAGTGGCTTGCTCTGAAAGACAAAAGTACCACATACTATATACATTCACTTCTGCCATTTATATCATCTGAGTGATAGAGCAACTGTGTGACAGCTTTTTTTACTTTGAAATTTCCAAACATATCCACCTGTCCAATCTGAACTTTAGTGGTGGCTCATTAGAACTTACCGCATCGATCTCAAATGTTACATGGGTCTTTTAACAGCACATGTTCTTTAGTGAGCATTGTTTTGTTTTAATTTTTAAGTATGTATTAGTAATGGATCTGTGTAGTCTTACCGGGCGGCGTGTCCTTGTCGACCCTGAGAGCATCGCTGACCAGTGCGGTCAGTCTATTGGTCTGGAGGATAGAGCCCAGGATGAGTTCCTTGGCTTCCTTCTCTCCCTCTAGAGCACACGCCAGCTGGAAGTGGAGAACATGCGCTTTAATTAAGGGTGATTACCCTATAAATTCAAACAACATGCGTAATATTGTGGCTTCAAAATTTTCGTTGTTAAAATTTAATTAAAAGGTGGATTTGAAAGTTTTGTAAAGTTAGCTGGTTTTGTATCTCATAGTATATTGTTGTGAGTGTCAGAGAAAGATCTTTTTTAAAATATTCGAAAAAGAGAGATATTGAAAAATTTATGTAATTGCCACTTCGTTAATCACCACTTTAACTGTTGTTTCTTTTCTTTGTTGTGAACTGGCTACCAGATACACAAAACTGATAAATTTTCTTGTGATTATGAAAACTTCCTCTTTTGAATGAAAGCATCTTTACACAAATGGATTGCACATATTTAAGTTTTTCTTTCAATTTGATATTTTTTAAAGGTTTTCTCTCTCTCTCTCTCACCTCTGCCACATTTTCAAACTCAGCAGGCTCAATCTGTAGAATCTCTGCAGTGATCCGTTGCTTGTCTTGCAGTGCTTGCCTGATCTGTTGGTCTTTTTTCTTTAACGACTCTAAAAATAACAGCATTGGTCTTGTAAACCTTTCATGGTTTAAGTTTTAGGAGTTCTCAAATTATAATAGCTGAGCTTACATCTCTAATTAAGTATTAAAATAATGAAGAGATCAAATTTCATCTGTACATTTGTTGTTAAATCAATTATTAATCAGATTCCATTTTTCTCTGTGAATGTGTAAAAAAAGATACTCACAAATTAAAGACATTCAGTTACAATCAGTACAATAGGACACCATGTCTGGATATGGGGGGGGGGGGGGGAGTTTATAATACCTAGTAATTACACCAACCATTTCACAATATAAACCCCTAACAGCACAATATATTAGGTGCTTTTTTCAGAAAGTACACATCACAGTAGTAGTAATCATTATTTTTTTTAACTCAGGCCCTACCGTGTGGCGTCAACATGACAGAGTCTGCCCTCTGCATCACTTTCTCCGTGACCACTACCTCAGCTGGCTGGACAAGCTGTGGCTGGTCCGTGACCTGGACTACCTCATTCCTGTCCAGGTTGTCCAGGCTCTCCACACTCTGGCTCTTGGCTCGGTTCAGACTGCTCTCATCACTGATAACAACGGGAGGAAATTTTTTTACTTCAATTATTTATTCATTATGTGTATAATTATATAAATGAGCTGAACATCAATCAAATTATACTTTTAGCACCTGTGCTATACTTTATGGGCATATTTGGGATGAAGAAAGCCAAGATATGTATTACTCCGTGCATATATTAAGTATACCACGTGTTTAAGAGGCAAAATGCTAGAATCATCAATCTACTCAACATAGTTCAAATTTGGGAGTCCACCCCCCCTTGAATATAATTGAACAGTATATATAATATCAAATTCCACTTTATTTTCTCTAAGCAAACTTCAATGATGCTCAGTATGTCCTATCTCTAGCACTCACCCTGGTTTTTCTTCTTTCTCCTCCTGTATCCTCCCAGAGTCATTGGTCGCCACGCGGGCATGGCGGCGCCTCTGAAGGGGATTCTCTTTCTCCCGACTCTTATGTGCCTCTGCAGCTTCTGTGATGTGCTTAAACCATCTGCAAATAGAAAGAAAGAGTGGTGAGAAATCTTGAGTTTAACTGTTGTTTTTTTTGTAGCTTTAAACACAACTGATGTTTTTTTTTTTTCAATAAAAAAAGAAATATACAGCCCTGACTATACCATGTTACTGGATTGAATAAAAATAAATATCTCATTGGCAGGTAAAACCAGTTCACGTCAGTTGCACTGTTTACCACATTTCATACAGAGGTAATTAGGTTTGCTCGATTTGGTTTTTTATGAAAAGCTCAAGAATCATGTACATCATTGTAAAAATGGGTATAAACAAGCTTGTCAAAAATGATTTAAAGGAATAACTTTCAAAGAACTAAGCATGCCTTCATACCTAAAATAACCAATTTTCAATGCCACGATCTCACCTAAGAATACAACAATAATTTGAAAGGAAGTAAAACTGAATAGGCGACGAAAGCAGTAAACCATTGAAAAAGAAAATGGGAAGGGATCCTGTTACACACTGATAATCTGACCTCAAATATTTGTTGCTTATAACAAACAATCACAAATACCTTCTACAAGTCTTGACAGGTTGTTTTAGGGCCTCATGTCTAACTGCAAATATAAAGTACCCTGACCAAACTGTAACTGCCACATAAAACTTGCTTCCTCACAGACGAAAGTAAACCTATGCATAATGTTGAAACGGACTTCAAACACAGGCTTATCATTCCAGCACCTGACACTGCAAACAACTTATTTGTTATTCTACAAGGATCGCTTCTACATAAAAACTTCAGCTGATAGTTGGTCCTTGCTAGGACCATTATTAAAGTACATTTTTTTCTATGGTAAATCAGTAGTAGTAGTAGACCACTTGAAAGAAAACACTGCACTTTGGATTTTGTTGAGATGAGGTGAATATACAGACTAGGTCTTATAAAACCCTGCAGGTCCACGTAATACATTCTTCAGGAACCTAATGTGTTATATCTGGTAATCAGTCATATACCTCTGATTAATTTTTACCTTTACAAGGTAATTATCACCTTAAGTGTGACTGTTTTGTTAAAACTAGGCCCATTTAGCAAAAGCATACTAGTAACTAGTTAGCATACCCAAGGAATGCAGACATCCTATTTTATATGCCATTTCACCACACAAACACCAGGCCCCAGAATATGCACTAAAACAATTCCAACAAGCCACAAAAAGCTATTACTTCAAAGTTCTTTTATGCAAACATTATTACTTCTGCGACCTAAGATCCATGTAATGTAAGCAAATGGGAGGAATGGAAAAATATGGAATTCACATTTACTCCATGATTCATACCAACTTGAGATACTTGATGAAATCAGTGAAGGGTTTTAAGTGTTAAAACACTTTATGTACATCTAAGTCCTTTTAAACTATTTGTAACAACAGCATACTGATATTTCATGTCATTCTCACCTATATATATATACAAAATGCAAGGAGTCCTATGTCTTTCTAATGGGTCTCTACCAGAGCCTGGTTTCACTAAAGACCTATAGTCTGAAGATGGGTCTAAGCTTTTAGTCAGAAGATGGGTGTAAACTTTTAGTCTGAAGATGGGTCTAAACTTTTAGACCAGAAACTTGGTCTACTTCAGTTCAAGATGACTGAACAGTGATCCAATTCAACAAAGTCAGAATTGGTCTGGAATATTTGCCATTACTCTCCAGTTATAAAACGGGAACAATATTTCACTTGATCAGACTACTACCCATTTAGCAAAGGTCAAAGTAGACTAAAATTTCAGTCTAAAACTTTAGACCAATTCTTATGATAATACTTTTTTTTTTTGCAAAAGAGGTCCCTTCTATTCAAAGATACATGCTTCTACGTGACAGGTGAAGACAGATAAACAAGTTATCTGACATTGCGACAGTAAATATGCCATTAAGAGGACCTAACCTGGTACTTGTTCCTGTGCCTTGATCAGGTAATTGCAAACATGTCAGGCCACTCACTGCAGCAGCCTTTAACAGCTTGTTCCTGGTGACTTCTCACAAATATATGCCAGTTTATTCCAGTGTTTCTTTTCATATTTATCAATATTTATCAATTTGTCTCTCCCTCTCTTTCTCTCTCACACACACACATACACACACACAAACACAGAGCCTTCTGCTACAAGTTTTGTGCTTTCTGGAGCTTTTAAATTGTCCTTTGTTAAGTATCATGTACAAATTTTTATTTCAGGAAATTTCTTAATTTTTCTCGTCCTATGTGATTAATTCAAAAATATATTTATAACATAACTCTCCTCATGACACCCCCATTATGTTATACTTTGGAACATCCCTCTCTTTTATGTACAAGGACCTCCACCCTCAGATTTATGGGCATTTGATAGATTGTTGACTTTGCGCTACATTTTTCTGTCCATAATTTCAGGTTTAAGTGATCTAGTTCACCACCATAACCAATGCACAGAATGAACTAAAAATGCTGCATAATTATCACATTATCATAGTTCTGCAAAATGGAGTTCCACAAAGTATCAGTATATTCTATACTTACATATACCTATAATGACTCCCATAAAGTACAGTCTCCTTGAGTCATCTTTCTGTTAGAGTGAAGGAGGGTTAGTATGACTTTGATAAGTTCAGACGTAATCTTACTTTTTATTTTAAATATAATTTCCTACTTCTATAAACAAGTTCTTCTGAACTCTAAACACCTCATAAGATCCTTCATACCCATACTTGATCACCATGCTCAGTCATGGCTCTTGGTTTCCAATAACTTATCCCACAGATCATGCTACCGGTCAAACACAACCCGCTGTGATTTATTAAAGAATAAGGATCTGCCATAAACATTAACAGAATATTGGTCTTATCTTCTCTCGAACTTGGGAGTGCTCCCTGTAGGAAGACAACAGGAGGAACATCTTGGATAGTCTGATAGAGGAGAGAGCTTCCTGCCTGCCTGGCATATGTAGCTCAACTGGCTGTGCGGCCAGCACTGACCATGATTAATTCCCATTTGTAAAATATTCATGGCTTCAGACCACATCAGAAAGTAATGAAGGTTTGCATATGTATGTGCAGGCAAGTTTCGGAGAGAATGTGAATTTTAGTTTTAGTCTGAAATATCATAGGGATCTCCATTCCATTCTCCCTCTTACTCTCTCTCTCTCTCCCTCCCCATCTTTTTCTCTCTCATAAACACACACACACACACACACACACACACACACACACACTAAACAAACAACCACAAAAAACATTTGCCCATGATCTAAATGCTAATCGTTGGTTGCCTAGGGAGTTTATCAAGACCAGTCTCATAGGCTGTATTCCATTTCCTTCTTCTAAATGAATGCCAACTTTTAAGAATAGACACCATAAAATCAATGGATTGCTCTGGTAGTTAGGGGCAATGTTGTGATATCTTGTAGTATGTTGTCTCAGTACAAATATAAATATGTGTATCCAAACAGTCCGTATTGACTACCAGTAACAATAACAACAACAATAACTAACAATTTAGTTCAGGGAAACAATAAGTTAACTTAGATTTGCAAAACTTGAGGTCTGTCTCACCAGAGCTTTTGGTTAAAAAATTGTCATAACTTTTAGGCCACAATTTTAGCCTACTTTGAAATCAGAAGTTTGATCAAATGAAACATTGTGCCTCTTTATAGAAGGAAAATCACTGTTTGTTCCAGACCAGTGCTTACTTTATTCAAGTGGTCTAATATGAATTTAGGTTCACCTGAATTCGAACCACATTTTAGGTCTAAAAATTTTGACTAATTTTCAGGTTTAATTTTTTTTGTGACCCCATCCCACTTACTGCTCATCTTTTCCAGCTCTAAATTTTATGTTTCTACCACTATTTACATGTATCTCATTTTTCAGCATAGCCATGTGAGCATTTTAGGGACAAAATTATTATGTGCATATGAGTTTTCCTCACGTATAAAGAAGCATTTATATGCTTGTTTATACATGAAGACAACATATATATATATATATATACATAACCAGACAGTATGGTTTAGGTGTATGAACAAGTACTAAGAAATACTTTCACCATGGTATACCCATGGACATTCTACAAAATACCAATATTTCAAAGCCAGAAACTACTGTTCACATTACGTACATGTATCTAGCCCTATATACTAATGTAATGCCAATGATTCACCTAGGCCTGGATAAATATCACTCCCTGCATTAAACTGAAGATACCAGGTATAATTTATGCATACTGACATCATCTTCAAATATAAGAACACATCTTCCATTTGATTTATGGAGGTTATTACTTTTTTAAATTTACACAACAGGAATACATTATCCTTCTCCCCTCGCCCAATGAAATATTTATTTAGAAATATTGATTCATAAATTTTTGAAGTGGTTGGGTTTCCTGTCATAAAGTACATTTTTGTGGGTGTCTAAATATGAATACCTCGTCCCCACCCCACAAAAAAGTAAAATATAACAAAAAGTGCTCTATTTACGCATTTAATTACAGTACCAACATTATAACAGAGCACAGAGGTTGTAGTAATTATGTATTCACTTCACATCTGCTGTCTCTGTAATCTACAGAGCATCTGTGGCTGAGTAAAATCATTAGTGAATCTATTCAGCCCTTTTATCAGAGCTGCATCAGACATTTACCTCAACTTGAAGAAGCTCTGAGAAAACAAAATGAAAAAATATTGAGTACATGGTCTATGTTGAAGTGGACAATAACGTAAATCCTTTCAATGTACTTCAAGTCATCTTTTCCAAGACAACTGCGCAAATACAAAAAGGTACGCTGCTTAACTTGCCATAAATAACCTTGTGACTTGTCATAAGGTAAAGGTATGCATGTGTTCCTCCCATCAACCCACCCCAAAAAGTCTTCACAACAGCTAATGTCATATGAATAGTCATAAAATTACACTGTTAATGTCACAGCAGAGCACTGTCACAGACATTCCACTGTCTACAACAATGTAGTTATCTTCAAGCTTGTTCACATCTGGTCTAACTTAGAGCGGAATATAACATAAATGACATCAAGTTGCGTGAATCACGCAGGCCTTTAGGATATTTTGATATGACGTGAAGCAGTCTTATTGTCTGTTGAAATATATTTGCTTACTTTCAGTACAAATTTAGTTTGCTTATAAAGTGTTTCCATGTCAAAACAAGT